ACTATGTATTAAAAGCCAAAGTGAATAAATATGTTTTAACCAATGATTTAAAAGTTGTCAAGTCTGTAGAGGATCTAACATTAAAAGGTAAACCATTCCACACTTTAGGAGCTGCAACAATAACAGCACGGTCACCCCAGCGTTTGTAACTGGCCCTGGGAACCTCTAAAAGAAACTGGCTTGAGGATCTGAGTAACCTAGTTGGTTTGTGCCACCTCACCAACTCAGTGACGTAGGGCGGTGCCAAACCATTAAGAGCTTTAAAAACAAAAGTCAATAACTTAAAATGAATTCTAAAACAGACTGGAAGCCAGTGAAGAGAGGCCAGTACTGGGGTTATATGGTCAAATTTCCTAGTACATGTTAAAAGACTAGCAGCAGCATTTTGGACCATTTGAAGACAAAAGAGAGACGACTGATTAACTCCAACGTATAATGCATTAAAACAGTCAAGTCTAGAAGTTATAAAAGCATGGATTGTGATCTCAAAATCATTAAAAGAAAGAAACGACTTGACTTAACAACCTCAGGTGAAAGAAACTAGATTTTACAACTGAGTTGATCTGCTTGTCGAATCTTAAGTCACTATCAAACGTTATCCCTAGGTTTTTTATAGTCATCTTCAGATGATGAGCCAGGGGGCTATACGACGGAGTGGCCCCGTCACAAATTGCTGACAAAGTATGTGGGGCATGCAGATGTACACGCACACAGAAGTGGGCCTGCAATATAAGTAGGCTGTGTCATTTTTTGTGCTGTTTGGTGGCTGGTCCGGATGTTTGTCATTGTTCATTTGTTAATTGTGAAAACGGTTATGTGTGTGCGCCATGTAATTAAATGCCGGCGTGACTTAATTGGCAGGGGGCAGGGCCTTCGGGACTTGGCAACAAAGATACTGGACTCAAAAGCACGCCTCTCATTTGTAGCTGACAACCATTGAGTTTATCAGCAGCTAGCTAGTTATTTAAGCTAATGCTCCATAAATTGATAGTGGATGTGCAAGTCCTAAACTGGGCTTTTTTAAAATGGAATCCATCACTCCATAACTAATGTACTGTAGTTAAATAATTAATGTCCTTTGAAAGTACCTTTTAGTTATTTATTCTAGTCACTTAAATAGTAAGTTTAATGGCTGAACATACTAACAATTGCCATTACAGCAAATGAACTTCGATCCTTTCCTTTGAATATGTTAATGTTTTTAGTACTGGAAAAGCTAAAACAATACACCAGCCACCAAATTCTTAAAACACCAAGCATCATGTTTACAGACTTATACAAACCACTTCAACATCCAAAGCCATTCAAAGCTTGACAAATTTGCTGAGCATAGGTACTATTAATAAGCTATGATTGGATGATCTCTGTAGAGGGGAGGGGTCCATGTGTTCAGATGACTGCACTAAGCACTGCGATACACAGTGTGTGTGTTTATCAAACACTGAACTGATCTGTCTCAAGCTAAAATTCAGACTGTTTGAGTAGAGATGGCAATTTACACTGACACAGTAACCTACATTTGAAAACAGATCTTCCTAATCAGGCAGTTCACTTTTTCCACTTCATACATTACTGAAGTGACCTAAATTCATAACACTAACTTTTAAAAAGGTACTTCTTTTAGAAGCCTTGTTTGCTATTTTTATTGTAGCAAAATCTATTGCCAATAAATACCAGTTCTGACTGTCCAAATCCAAAGAGAGTGTCCCAAAAACCAGACCCACCTCAGCAGCCACGTTGCCCAGTGTGTCAAGTCCAAGCTGTCGGAGAGAGATGAGGTTACAGTGGGCACAGAGCAAAAGGAAGCGCAGGCACGTTCGGTTGGCCGCCAGCAGCTTGACATTGACCTCCTCGAAGGAGAGGTTTCGCAGGATAACGGCGATCTGCAGCACCCGCTGGGCCTCTAGGTCATTAATACCCGCGCTCCGGGGTGGGTGGAAAAGGCTCTGCCAGTGTTCCTCACACAATGTACCGTCTGCAGAGACTAAAGGAGGAACAAATTAGAGCCAGATAGGGGTGTGAGCACATACTGTTCAAAGATAAAATTAGTGCCTGAACTTAAACTTTCACAAGTACATGCAACAAGAGAAAAAATATTTGGTATAGATCTATGATTTATTTAAAAACTTAAGCTTCCTATGAGCTCTACAATACATGTCACACTTCCTAAAAGTGCGACATTTATTGTGACCTGTTTATGTTGTTATGAACATTAAAATAGCAAGTAACATCTTCCAAATAGTGCATCTCTAATGTATTTACCATTAATTTTATTCCGTGCTATCTTTGCTTTTACATTTTTGTTGTTGTTTTTAACAATTCTTTTGTTGAAAGTGGAAAAGAAAGTGAAATACAGGCTTGGGACATTTAATACTACAAAAAAAAGGTAAAAAAAAAAAATTTTAAAAAAAGCTAGACATCCCAGCATTTTATATGTCAATAAATACCCATGGGGACCATGCAAAGTACTCTTTTATTGCTCTCCATGGCTTTTAGCACCAAGCATGTTTACCTTGTGCTGGGCTGCTCTTATCCCAGATCAGCTCCCTGACTTCAGCATCCTCCACCATCTCTTTCCAGAACTACACAAAGCACAAAACCCATTACTTGTGCATTTAGATGAGCAGTATTATAATGATGAATTTTTGCCTCCTCAATCCAGGGGAATAGTGAATAATACATGTAGGAAAGCTCATCAGTCCGATCGGTGTGATTAGCAATCCAACTGATTTCTTTCATATATTTATTGGTTTTAACCAGTGCTGCTGAGGCTACAAGACAGGGTCAGGAAGAGAGAGATGTAGGAGAAGAGGAGGACAGCAGCCAATATGCTGCTGCTGTTGGAGAGCTAGTGTAGAAGGGACAAGTCAGATGAACAACAGCATTACTATATTTAATAAAAAATAAATTATGAATGCATGACCCCCCAACACACACATTTTCTTAGGTGAGTTATGTATGTGGAACTCAACAACTGAGTTCTTGATATTTAACACCTGCATGAACTGTCGTGATAATCTGAACAGTAAAACTGTTTAACCAAGAAACAACTTGGCTATCATAATGAAAAGGACATATAGCCGACAACTGATAATTGTTCAAATTGTAGACAACTGTACCTAATAATTTGCTGAAACACACACAAGTTCATCATCTAAACAATTAATAAATGAAGAAGATCTAGACATCTCATGTGGTTTGAAATTCCTTTTACATTGTAAACGTATTGTCCTGCTCCAGCTTGTCACTCTGTTGGATGTATGAGCATATAGCTGTGCACAGGATTACTATTTACACATTAAACAGAGATATTACAAACTGAGTTGTCATATCAAAGCAGTGGACAAATATTTAAATGGGATACTTGTGCATTTAATTTGTCAGCTATTTAACCAAACATTCCTCTGTAATTTGCAAAATTCAGCTTTTTCATTTAGATGCAAATAAAACCTTTAAATTCTTCAGAAGTGCTCTCTCTGCTAATGTGACAGACTATGCTCTCTCCTTAGACACCCACGCACAGCCAATCAGAAACCAAACAATCATGGCTTCAGCTGTCAATACATGTATATTGTCTCGTCTCTGACCACAAGAGCACATACTTATCGTGGATGATTAAGTCCAGCTTTTCTAATCCAGAACAAAGGTGGAGGCTGAAGAACTGAAATTTCTGGATAACCTTAGTTGGCATGACAAAATCCAGGATTGCTCATTTGATCTAGATCTGTTTAGCAACATTTGAAGAACACCCCCTCATTTCTGTGTGAGACTGGGGGGGAGGGGGGGACTCAGACACACGGCAGAACAGGGAATCAGAGCTCACAGTTGACACTAGATCATGTAATTTCCATACATAATTGTCAGTTGAAACATATTATAAACTGAACACAAACGGCCACCATTTTTTTCTACTTTACCCTGACAAAGTTCCGCGAGGTTTTCTCCTTCCAGTCCGTCCCAAATACCCCAGAGAAGCTGCCTAGCGCTACAAGGATACAAAAAGAGGGTTAGAGTAAAGAATTAGCATTTTGCATATCTCTATTCCCTTGTTATTCAACTCCTAATTGACAAATTATATTTAGGAGGTGACAAGAACAGAAAAACTTTGATCCTAACAAAGAAGTGAAAATAGTCAGAAAATCTTTGCACAGTCCTCACCACAGAATACTTTTTAGGGCTGTACAATTAATAGGGAAAACTAGACTTTCCTCAATAAACATGGCAATAACTGTGAGAATAACAGTGATCACAACCAACTGTCTAAAATTATGTATGTTACAAAGTTTGTTGACTGATGCTCTTATTAGTGCAACAGAAAGTGAAAAACACTCAATAAAATGACTTTTGTGTCTTGCTATTTGACATGTGAACTCGAGCATAAACCAAGTGAGGCTGAGAACGTACAGTCATCAAAGACTCCAGCATGGGCAAGCAGCAATGTGACCAGTTTGGGGTCCTTGTCCAGGTGCATGGCACGTTTGCTCTCATTGGAAAGCAGAGTGCAAACATTAACAGCAAAATCCACTTCGTTGGGTAGGCCCGAAAGGAGCGAGAGCACCAGTTTGTTGTAGTCGCATGGGGAAACGAAATCTGTAGACAGTCCATAGCTTTGGCGGAGATAGTCTGGAGAAAAGCAGAACATATTTCAGGATTACTATATAAATTTGATAATAAAATACACATTTAAATCAGTGAGGTGAGGGATAAAACTGTTACGGTTCTACAAGGAAACCTTATACACAGTCTGCCCTGCAAACAGAAAACAAATGGCTGTGATAGAGAACAAATGAAGCAGGACAAGACATATTGTAGAAGGGTTGCAACATTTGAATATTGAATTATGTTGTCTTTCTTTGCCACTTACTAACAATGGCGAGTTAAAACTAAGTTGTTGAACAGCAGTTACTTTTACTGAAATTAACGTAATGCAGATAAGAGAGAAGAGGTTGGAGAAGATGGTTTGTACAACCCTAGAACCAAATGAGGCATAACGAGGGGGTTTTCTGTGATTTTCTGGCCACAAAGAGACAACCAATCACAGTTGTTGCAGTCTGTCACCATGACATGCAGTAAACATTGCTGTAGAGGTGCACGTCAGGCTATGGAACAGGCAACAGCATAGGGTACAAGGCTACACATTGCTTATGTCGTAGACTCAATGCAGAACCATAAATCAAGCTTAAGGGGAAAATCCACTGTTCTGCTGTTACCTCTCAACACCTTCAGCCACTTCAGTCAACAGTTCAAATTATTCTGATGAGCTGTGTCGTGCCTGAGAGAGGAACATGAATGTTCAGTTTATAATAAGGCATCTAATTCTAAATACTCAAGTGTTCTGTGTGGGGAAAGAATCATCACTTAAATGGTATTATTCAGCAGCTCTAAATGACAGATGAACCAGTCTGGGAAGGTACTAGGGACGCACATTTTCCATTTTTTTCTGACAGACTGCCAATGCTCGTTAACTGACAAGATTGAAATGCTAGGGTATTTAGAATGGATGAGTGTCTGTGACCCATTAATAAAACAATGAAATAAAAACTTTTCGCCCCAGGGTCAGAAATGAACTTTCTGGCTCACCAACCAAGGTGGCTGGTTGATATAAGCCAAAATAATAAAAAGTGCTTTTTCACATCACACAGGCCTACACACTTCATTGTGACAGAAAAATATTAGCCTCTGTTGAATACAAACGTAAAAAGGCCAGAGCAAAATTACTTTAATATATATCGATCAACAGGCAAAAAAAAATTACATTCATTTTTTTTTTTTATTTAAAAGCCACAATACAACTCAAGAAACCTTGATCTCAAAATTCTACACAATATAATTGCTCTAGTGTACTTCAGGGACAAACAAGCAAATTTGAAGTTTTGTAAACCAACTGGATGCTTAATAATCTGAAAACACTCAAAGCTCCTCCTGAGAATCCTTATTAACTGCTATCACCCACTTCTTTGTATGGGCCATAAGTCTGGGCCACTCTGTATTCCAAGGAGACCTGCCTTACTATGCCTCTTAATGGCTACAGTGATAGTCAGACTCGGACAAAGGCTTACAGTACTGCCTCCAGCTATCACTGCTGTCCAACTCTTTGCTATCCTTGACAAAGTGTAACACTGTGTCTGCACCATAAGAGTTTCAGCTATGTTCCTCAGACATACATGTAACCAATACACTCCTATTTTAAATCAATCAAGTGGATTACACTGCCCATTTTTCAGCTCATGTATCACTCGCACAATATAAATGTAAGCACAACTTAATATGGGTACATATGTGTCTGACATAGACAGAAGCAGGGCGCCTATATTAGAGACGCTGAGGATACTGTTTATTACAACTGTTTTGCTAGAAACATTTACTTTCCAAATGGAAAATCTACTTGCATTTGGCACCTGGCAAGTGTGAATTTTGGACCCTGACTTTTTCCATACTGGGCTTATTTCTACATGTGCAAATACAACACAACAGAACATACACAGATAAAATATTGTCACATCACACACACACACACACACACACACACACACACACACACAGTTTATGTTTCGTAGTCCATGGGGACTTCTTTATGACTTACATGCATTTCCTGTAGACTAACCCTAACCTTAACCAGAACCACTACTTGCCTAACCCTAACCCTAACCTTAACCTAACCCTAAACCATGTTGCCACTGTAAAATTCAATTTCTTGCCCATGGGGACCTCAATTTAGTTCCCCACCGTGAAATGGGTCCTCATGAGTTGTATGGAGTCAGGAAGAAGTCCCCACGTAGCAGGAAAAACATGTCCACACACACACACACACACACGTGGAACTGTGAAAACAGTCTCGTACACAAACCTCTCTGTGACTCTGACCTGAGGCAGCTTAGGTTACTTTAAGGGTGTGTGATATTGTATTAAATGTAAGCCATGAATGCTGTCTCCTTTCAAAGTACAATGTTCAAAGTAAAATAGACCACTCTCAGAGCCTATATTTCTATGGAAACTGCAGGTACTGCAAAGACCTTAAATCATACAAATAAACCTTAGAACTGCAACTTCTGTGTCCTTGGAGGCGAAGTGTAGGACAGAAAAAGAGAGAGGGGGATGTCAACCTTTTGTTTTTTTATTTATTTTAATTTGTATTTAGTATTTTATGAAATTGAATATGATCACTGATCATTTGGGATCACCTACACTTGAATTTTTGTTGGTTCTAGGAAAGCGCAGGTCTCTTCTCACAACCCCCTGCTCTTGTCCACTACCGAGAAGAGTCTCAGGCATATAGAGAGGGTAGAAAAGAGTGATGGTATTGTTCAATTGTGCTACCTTGTCGAGATATGCTACCTTACTAACAGTCTATGGATTCATTAACGCCACCCCCATCCCTCACACCCTAATACCCAACCACTTTGTCAAATGTAGGTTAGCACATCTCAATAAGGAGCTTAGGTTGACAGAACACCGGCAGCTTGTGAGAACTGCCGGTGCAAGTAAAATGCAGAAGTGCTGGTACCGCATACCATACCCGTACATGCCAGCCCACTTCAAGCACTGTAATTAAATGGACACACATAATGAAGTCTCCAGTGCCAAGAGGACTGTAACGAAAGCATCGGCCGGATTAGTCTGTTTATTGTGAGACAATACGCAGTCCAATGGCAGCAGTGTCCCATCCCAGGAATGCAAAGATAGTGCCTCACTAGTGGCCAGCCTGTGGAAGCCTGTCCGCTGGAGAAACATGTCCGATTAGCCTTCCACCATGCAGCCCATGACTTTATATGTAGGCCCTATAGCCTACTTTTCAGTAAACTGTTTCTTTTGTTTTTACCATTTATTGTATATTTTTCTACCAATTAACTGATAGTATTAATCAGTTGCAATCTTTATTGTTGGTTAATGGTTAAGGGTGTGCATCCCTAGAAGGTACAATCACAGTCTACAAAGGACCAAGATTCCTCCCTGTGCTAAGGTCTTCACTTTCTTTTTGTGTGCATAGATGTAGGATCTTTGGTTTCCAGAGGCAGCAGGCTACAATCATAAAGCAGAGAGGAGTCCTACTTGGTTGCATACTAGCACTGCACAGAGGTGCAGAGGACTGATGTACAACATGCCATATGACATACAAGGTTTAATAAACAGAACACCGATTCTCGTTTTAGAACCAAAACATGACAACAGGGCAGAATAAAGCTCAGTGTGAAATTTCTAGAGCAGCTGTCAAATAATCGTCAGTGAGCCTGCCAAGCCAACATAACACAATTTCAACTTGGACGTCCAACTGCAGCAGTTACATTTAAATGCAGAGAGTCGGGTACAGAAAGAGCTCATTTTGAAAGGTCTATAATAGAGCTAGAACAATAAATGTGCTGGGTAGCCATAATGACCTATATCAATCTGTTCTGCATATCAGTACTGGTGTAACAATGCATTAGTGAACCTTCCTCACACAAAACAAGCTTTCACAATAGTACAACTGTATAGTCAAAGGCTGGGGAAAAACCACTGCTGTTTAATGTCTGATTCATCTGGGTAGTGAATGACAAAACTGTACAAGCCACAGACCAAGATCACCGTTTGTCGTGTCTCTTTTCCTACCAAGATCATGTGTTAATGTCAGTTAAGTCAGCAGGCAAAGGGCTGACTGTTGGAAGAAAAGGCTGGAGGCTCAATTCTAAGCTGAGGTGGAGGAAAAAAAAAACCCAACAAGTGCTTCCCCCTTCCTTTCATCAGTAACTGCTGTCAGGACAGTCGATTACATCCAAGACAAGCACAGCAGTTGACACTACAGCAACACTGTGAGGCTAATGGACAGCTCAAATTCACCATGTGTGAACAGGGTTGGACAATACAGACAAGACATTGGCCTTGGCCACCTGTATAAAACACACTTAATTTGAAATACGTCATCATTTCTCAGAGGCTGCTCTTCAAGGTTCAAGGATTTTGTCAATTCACCATATGTGCAGGACATACAGAAAATCAAAATACTGTTTCTCTCTCACCTAGTATTGGGTGCCATAACATTTAGGAACTAAAATAGACTAAAGTAGAATAAAAATAAAATAAAATAAGAACTGGATTAATGTAATTAGGAGAAATCGAAACAGTACAGCCAAAGAGCTGTGACTCAAAACCGTGGACAGTCAGTGACAGTAGTGCAAACAATAATAGGAGATTATCAGATGGTTCAGCATCACCAGGGAGTTGGTGACGCATATGCGGTATACATGGACAGTACTGCAAATGACCAACAGCAGCAGATATCCCGGAAAAAGAAAAAAAATAGTCAGCAGCAGATTTACCTGCAATATAACAAAAATGGGAAATGTATTGAGTTTGTGCAACAGCAGGGGTAGTCTTTTTTATTTTATATCTTTTTATGTTCTGTGGTGGGTTATGGTCCAGGGGCAGAGGGGGGAGGTAGTGAACAGTGTTCAGCATCCTCACAGCCTGGTGAATGAAGCTGTTTGTAAGTCTGGTGGAGTGGGCCTGAAGACTCCGATACCTTCTCCCTGAAGGCAGGAGTCTGAAGTGGGAGTATGCAGGGTGGGAGGTGTCATCAGCAATGCTGATGGCTCTGCGGGTGAGGAGGGTGTTGAAGATGTCCGTAAGGGAAGGCAGAGGGGAGCCGATGATCTTGCTGGCTGTTTTCACTATGCATTGCAGTGTCCTTCTGCAGGAAGCAGTACAGGCTCTGTACCACACAGTAATGCAGCCAGTGGTGACACTCTCAATGGTGCCCGGGTAGAAGGGGCACATGATGGGGGGTGGGACACTTGCTCTCCTCAGTTTACAGAGAAAATACAGGTGTGTTTGGGCTTTCTTGGCCAGTGTTGTGGTGTTGTTGGTCCAGGAGAGGTCCTCAGAGATGCGCGTCATGCAAGCAGCAACTTGTGTTTTAAAAAAAAAAAAAAAAAATTTTTGTCATCAATGCCCCAACTTCCAAGGGGGAAAAAAAAAAAAAAAAAAAAAAGAGGCACTGACAATTACTGCACACTTCATAGCCTTGGATGAAATACAGCAATGCTTAGCAAGGTGAAAATTGAATTAAATGAGTCACTGTGTAATAAAAATGATGCAAAGTACAGTGAACAGACTCATGAAATGGACAAACGATAGAAGGCTTAGCTATGGCAGGGAGCCTCAGCCAGGTTTGTAACAATAAAACAGTCATTTCTTCTTGGCTCTGAACTTAGCTATTCTTTGTCCATGCAATTTCTCAGTCCTTCAGGTTGTAGTATGATGAAAAAAACTTAGAAGGCGGCATCTGGATGTAGTTTTAGGTAGAAGACATTTCACCTCTCATCCAAGAGGCTTCATCAGTTCTGTCTGACTGGTGGCTATTCTTTAAGTGAAAGGCATGCAATACTGAGGCAGATTAATAAAAATGGTCTGAAATGGCCACAAACTCAGGATCTACCTCATGCAATTCCATCTGTACTGTTTACATACTCATTTTGCCAATGCATAATTGCACACTCACTGCTGAGTATGTGCACGCCACAGCTCTCACGTAGCATATATTCTCTGCATTATATTGTGTTCTTGTTGTATTTTTATTTGCTTCCTTCACTTGCTGCTTTCAAGTGCCTTAGATTTGTGATTTTACTGCCTATTTAGATTTGTGTTATTGCTCATCTACTTTATATTTCACTTTTATTATGTGGCATTCATATGGACGGCAAAGTAAGAATTTCATTGTACAGGGAAACATGTTTCCTAACTGTGCACATGACAAATACTTTGACCTTGACCCTGAAGAAGCAGCTGGGATGTTCATTAGTTGGTGTTACAGCTCAAGAATACCTGCACGATGGTGTTATGAAATAAAAAGTAATTCATTACAGGGTTCAACATTAACAATGGCCTGTTGGCCCATGGCCACAAAAAGTTGCTCTGTAACCACCATATATCCACAATGGCCACCAAGCTTTATCAGGCTTCTACTGAGAATGAGAACCTGTGTCTCTGACACTGTGCACTTCACCAATTCCACAAACATCCCATTTCATTCATACCTTCTAGCTGATCATTCTACAAAAACAGTGAACAGTAAGGTTACCCGTTATCAGCTCACTGCCGTTATGTCAAGGCCACTGAAGTGTGGGTTTACTAAGCCTACTCAAACTTCTAACACGATTTCTACAGAAGAACCAGAAACACAAAAGGCAAACTATGAAAAAAAAACATCAACAAAAATTTGAGGGACTGTAAGGAGGAGTTTATGTGGCTAGAATGTAACTTATCTAACAATGTAATGTACTGCAGTGCACACAGGACTGACACTGCTGGGAAGGAGTGTGTGTTTCAGGCACTGGAGTGTGGACAAGAAAATATATGTATCATATGTATTCAGTTTATCTAATTGTAAAAACATTCATTCTGCCCATGTATTTTGACAAAGTAGGCTACAGTTGGGAACAAGTATTACAGGTTTTCAATGTTTTTGTAATGCTTCTATTGCACACAAACATGACCGACTCAAGCACAATGCTGGGAGGGAGGGAGGGAGCAAGTGGGTATGAGATGCAAAAAAGAGACAACTGAAAGACAAAATATATGCACCTTTACAAATGAACTTGAGTTTGCAGTTTAGATATTGTCATTCAGTTAATGTCTTTTCATTTATTGAACTGTCACAGTTAAGGAAGGCTATGTTAAGTTGCATTAAATTGCCTTTTCTGCATTGTTTTTACATACATTTACAATTGGGCCACCAAAAATGTACTTTGGCTACCAAATCTTGGGGCTTCATGGTCCGTGGGGCCAATGCTTAAAGTTCCCGCGGCATGCTTTTCCTTGCTTTCTGATTTATCCAGTGTTACAACGGTGAATTATCGTCTGAAACGTGACATTAAAGCTCAAAAAATGAGGTGTATGTACGTTCTAGCACTTCTATTCAGAAGCAACTCGGGTCACACAAGCCACACTTTTTTTTTTTTTTTTAGCAATACAAAGTGTTATGGGATAGTTTAAGGATTTCCTTGAATGGTCATAATCTCCAGGTAGTTGCACATTCATGCAAGCTCACCTGACACCCACCACTGCCATTGTAAAAGCGGAATTTTTCAACTGCACATGGTTTCGTGGATATATATTATCTCCTGCTGCCTGCATTGGGACCAGAGGATGTGGAGAATAATACAGGGCCTGAGGTTACTGCATGTCCGGGAACAGTCATGTACAGGGACTCACTGTTTTACCTGACCGGGTCTAATCTACGATCAGCAGGCCAGTGAAGCACCCTGGGGCGGTGAACAATCAGTCCATCAATGTTGGATTCCCCCAGAGCACAGTAGCTGTTTGTTTTAACTGCTTGAGGTCACGTGGGGGAAGACACAGTGATCACCAGCTTGACTTACCAACCTTGGAGCTACTTGAAAGGGAATGATGTTTCCACCACTTGGAGGGACTTAACAGTAAGTTAACACAATGTTGCAGACATTGATACATGTCTTTTAATGGGTTGTCTCTTTAACATTAGAATTGTTGCAAGGCTGGAGAAGTTACTATATCTGCATTATGCCAGTTAAAATATAGTGTTTCTCAATTACCCGCTTTGTTTAGAGTGTTACAAATCTGTTTTCATTGGTACATATACTATTTAACTATCTATTGAGGAGAAATTCACAATCAATGCCATCACGGTTTGTTCTGCTGTTCAGTAGGAGGCATGAGCGTTCACAAAGAGGTTTTATCATTCTGAAATAATTAGACTATTTGGAGTTATGATGGGTGCAAAGCTAATCTAGAGGTAGCCAAGATTAAGCATTAAATGGCTGGAAATGAGCATGCCATGGGGACTTCAAGTGTATGAAATGGCCAAGTGGTAGAGATGTACACAAAGACAGGGAAACCTTCAGAGAAAAAAAATGACAAACTGAGTGAGACACAAAAAGAACATAAATCTAAACTGAATCCATGTACCTGGTACAGACGTGCCTGAGACAGAAGCAAAGACTGAACTTTTGAACTCAGGGAGAGCTTCTGAACCCCCATACATGGTGCCTCTGCCTACCTGATACAGTGTGTTGCTGGTAGTTGTAAGAGGTGGGAATTGCACCGATTGGAAGAGAGGCTTTGGGATTCCCTGGCTGCGCTTCTTCATCATCCTCGCCAAAGTGGTGGACTTTCTCATACTTCTCCAAGTATCTGTGGGTAAGAAAAAACAGCCAGTTTCATGATGAGCCAAGACTTGCATCTAATGTGTGTGAAAGGGGTTTATGTCAGTGCACAGTAGTAGCAGATTACTTTTCTTCAACCCTAAATACCTTGTTAAGCTCTAGGCTGTTCTCAGCAGGCCCAAGTTTTGTAGATTAAATCATGTCCACATACACCAGGGACAGATGTTAATATTTATATAATACAGGACCCCACAGGCCACCAAGCACCTAAATTTGGTGGCCGAAGTACATTTCTAGTTGACCTAAGGTAAACATATACAGCTAGGGTATGCAGTTTGGGGATGCTCTGGAGGATCCTCTGTTTGGACAGCATGGGTGGGGGAAACCAATTCCCTCCACTCACTTACAAGTAACATCACTGGACTGCTGGCCCTCTCTTTGACAAGCTTTCCTCCTAAGGGCCTTCAAGCTGTTTAGGAGGGAACCACCTCACATCATGCAGTGGGTCAACTCTCTCCGGGTCAGAAACGACCCTGAGCTACATAATTCCAGTGTCAACAATGAAATTAAATCATGATAAGCAACAAAACAGAGGAAGGTTTAATTCAATAGCCATAAAACAACAATACTGATGTCCTGCCTGACTTCACCCTGTTGTGCCACTTTCCCCTGCCCTCTATAGAGGCTAATGAGATGGGGAAACTACTACTAGTAATACTTTGGTACTCACAGTACCAAAGACTAGCTACAATGTTAGAGAAAAACTAACATTAGCCATACAGTTGAATTCTGTTCAAGATTAAACTAAACAGGTTGTAAGACATAAATAACCATAAGCAACTACGTGTACTGAACTGCTTCCAATAGAAAAGCTACTATGTGCATTTTACAAAGACAAAGCAACACTATGCACATCGATACATGCTTCTATCCAGGTTTTCAGGATGAACAACCTGATGCTGATGATAACAAGGGTCACACAGTTGATCTACAAATGTGTGCTGTCTAGGAGATCAAACAGCAAAAGCCACATTCAGCAATTAAAACATGACAAAAGAAACTAATTGGCCTGACTTTACAGAGTAGCCCACTCTATGTGACTACCCCTCAATACGACGATTTCCTGAGAGCACCAAAATTCACTGTTAAAGTGAATCAGACTTACAAAGCTTAAAGAATGCCACTACAAAAGATTAAACTCTAAGCATAAAGCCTGTGGAGTAGCAGTAACTGTGGTTGACCAGAGCAGAGCATCACTCACAGATACCCAAAAACTGGCAAAAGAAAACCAAAGAAAAAAGATTTCACATTGTCTGGTGGTCTGAGAACTGCAAAAACCACTGCACACAAGCTGAACTTACAGGACACCTTTAACTCAAGATTACAACTTTAATCTACTAGGGCTGCCCCTGAATCATTAGTCCAGAGACATAGCAGTCGACTGACTCTTGTAACCGAACCTTTGTTTTTATTTATTAATTTTGTCAGTGTGCAATAGAAGGTCACCCCAGCCCCTGTTAGTTTGTTGGCAACACTGTATGATACATGGATGTAAGCTATAAGAGCCAACAACGCTATTTATCAAACAGCTGTACAAAGCGAGGAGAAAAAGACAAAATCCACTAGGCCAAGGCACAAAGGTGAGATGTGTCCTTTATTAGAAGTGTTTTCAAACACTTGGGTCTACTTTTACAAGAGAATAGTCCTTAACAGTTGTGACAATATGGCTGGTTTTGCATATGTGTGTCAGGTTTGTTTGCTTATCTCAATTAAAGTGTAACACAGCCATTTATCTTATGTTTCTGTGACACATCTCCATCTGAACAGGAGTAGGAAGCTAACAGAAATGCGCTGGAAAAACATGAGAAATTATAAATATATATTCATATATTCTTTAGCAGTGCACACTGGCACACATCAAATGTAACATATGCTGTGGTTAACTGACTGGGGAAGCAAAACCTTGTTGGTAAACTGACTAGATTGCAACCATGTCTGAGAAGAAAAATTGCCTGTAAGAAAATAATTTCAACAGAATACAAGTGTGCTGCTTGTCTCATGATTCAAACTAAATCCACATGGCATTACCACACTATATATATATGAACTTAAATATGTTGCAAGTTAAATCTTGCATCATATGCAGCTGTCTTTGACTTTTAAATGCTCAAAAATATGTTACCATCACTCTTTTGAATTTGATTACCAACAATGAGGTCTAAATCAGTGAAATTCATACCAGTTGATTTTCTGACAGTGAATGCTAAACATACAGTATATAAGAAAAAATAAATAAATAAAAATAACAATTGAACAGTCACACTGGACAACCAACTGACAAAATTCTTAGTCAGGTACAACCCTAGAGTCTACTTAGTAACACAGGAGTAACCCACAACTAGAGCTGTGTATTGGCAAGAACCTGGCAATATGATAAATACAACAATACAGGGGTTACAATTCAATATATTGGAATATTGTCAACAAGGTGATATATTTCAAGTTTTTCTAATTATCTAATTTTAGAAAAACTAATAAAATAAGCAAACACCATATGCATAAAATCTCCTGTAAAAAAAAAAAAAGTTTATTTTTAATGCAGTCAGAACACCGAGCTGCATCTGAATTTGTCACAGTCCCTGTAACATCCAACAACATAGCACAACTTGACATGTCAACTATTAATTCAAAAACAATAATGTTTTGAGAATTGATACAGAATAGCAAAATGTAATAGGTGTATTGATATTTTCTTACACCCCTACCCACAATGCTGAGGCTGTGCTTTCTCTTTTTTAAATTACCATCTGTAAAAAATTACTGTTCAAAAGTTTCACTCCAAAGTGACATTTCACAGCTACCAGGGTGAGCTTTCACCTCGCTTGGCTGGTTTAGAAGCTATTTTCTGGATTGGCAGAGTTACTGTAGAGCTTTCTAAAGCTCAAACATGTTCCACAAAGGAACACAAGTTAAAAATGAGCACAATAAACATGTTTATATGATGAGGGTAAGACACATTAGATAGTGTAACTTAAAGTAGTATTAATTTCCATAGATTGTCAATTTTACTTTTACCTGCAAAAAATCTAAGTGGTCCATAATTTTTTTTTAAATCACTGTATTCCTAATGATTATTCCTCATAGCAACAAATCTCAGAGGATGGCTTAGCCAAAAACTTTAAAAGCAGGTAAATATGAGATTTAATCCTTTTCAATTCTGGCTACTTTTAATAGAAATGTGGTTAACTGAATGAATGCCACTTCTCTTCTTAACAGTACTACACCAGCAGCAGAAAGCAGCAAACCAGCTGCAATACAAACAAATGTGATCCAACAAAGCAATTCAACTTTTAGCTGCAATCCTCCTCATATTTTTGTTTGCATTCAACTCCGGGGGAAAAAAAAACTATGATAACAACTATCGATTCAGGCTTTCTAGGTTTTGATAAACACCTCACAATCATGTGGAGAAATCTGCCAGCACGATGCACACACACAAATCAACACATGCTCAGCAATATACCTCAGCAATGATAGCGTGGTGAACCCTGCCTGTGTGGCTGTGAGTCACCAAGTGAGCGGCTGTTTCTGAATGAGGCCCTGCTTGTTCATCGTGGCCAAGGTAATCCCCCGTCCGCTGGCTGCTGAGTGACACGCTGGACTATAAATACACTCAGCATTCGTTTGTAGTGAGCAAGAGAGCAAGGAGTGTGAGAGAGCAGGAGTGATAGGCCCCACTCATGACTGCAGCATTATCAACTGCTGTCTGGGCTTGAGCAAGATAAAAATGCTGTGAGAAAAACTGTTTGGGGAGGTCTGCAGTTGTTGTGTTTACACAAATCCATGACGAGGAACATTAATCCGCTCCTACTTGAGTAGCATGATGTGGCTACCAACCAGCAGAAACCACTGGGGCTTTCATCCTTTTACTAAAACTGCTCAGGGAAATTATCACTAATAGTGAGGTATGTTTTCCCTTCAAAACAATATGAAGGGGGCAATAGATAGGGAGCTGACAAGGGATGAGCAGTAATGATTAGATACATAGCTGCAAACAGCCACTATCATCAGTGCTGTGTTATTTACAATCATCTGGCTCACACCCTTGTAGATACCCCTGGCTCCATTCCTCTCAGCTGCCTGGCTGCTCAAATGCCCTCACTGCGCCGATGTATGGGAGTCCATTGCCCCCTGCTGGATGTGGATGCAGACATGCAAACAGAGAAATGTTTGCCGAGATTAAACTGAGCCAGTGGAGGGTGTTTTGTTTAGACAATAATCACAGAAATATGTACAGAGTCAATTGGGAAAAAACTGTAAAAGTTGGACCATTTACAATAGGAAAGCGAACGTTAGTCATGATCCTGAATACAATAGCAACAGTGACTTCTGCTGATTTAGTAAGGGCAGAGGACGATTCTGTTAAACCTATGTGGTCAATGCATGCGTACACTTCTCAAGGACACTGTAAAAAAATAAATCATGCTAATACAATGACTTTGGTCTTCTTGAAGGCACAAAAGTTCAATGGTTAACAGCATTTCCCAGGTGCAAACATGGTCTTCATAAGATAAGACAGTTATGTTTCCCTGATATCTATCTAACTCTAAGATCCTGGTGAAGACTCCAGCCAGCTGGTCCGTGCAGTCCTTCAGCCCACATCCAGGGATGCCATCCGGTCCAGCAGCCTTCCTCGGGTTTACGGCCCACAGCGTGCGCCTCACCTCATGCTCCCCTACTGTGAGGATGGGGCCGCTGTGAGTTGCAGTTTGGCCTTGGGTCTACTTTTACACGAGAATAGTCCTTAACAGTTGTGACAATATGGCTGGTTTTGCATATGTGTGTCAGGTTTGTTTGCTTATCTCAATTAAAGTGTAACACAGGCATTTATCTTATGTTTCTGTGACACATCTCCATCTGAACAGGAGTAGGAAGCTAACAGAAATGCGCTGGAAAAACATGAGAAATTATAAATATATATTCATATATTCTTTAGCAGTGCACACTGGCACACATCAAATGTAACAT